TGGAGGTGGTTATGGTGGAGGTTATGGAGGAGGAGGATATATTGGTGGTGGTGGATTTTCACATGGTGCACATGGTTTTGGTCAAGGGATTTCTGGTGGATATTATGGTGGTGGCGGCGGATATGGTGGTGGTTATGGTGGTGGTTATGGTGGTGGATATGGTGGTGGTTACGGTGGATATGGCGGAGGTGGTATTGGTGGTGTGAAAATTGTTAAAGTGATCTCTTCTGGTGGTGGTGGCTGGTGGAAAAAAAAATAAATTTTAAATCTGTATTTGTTTTCATTTCACCAAAAAAAAAAAAAAAATTAATGTAAAAAATAAAATTTTTAAAATTCTAAAATAAAAATTATAAATTTATTAAAAAAATTACTTGTGTTTATATATGCACATATATATATTTATATGTACATATGTATTAAGAATACAGAATTCAATCAGTGTAATCCAATCAATGTGAATTTTGAGTACAGATAATATGGAAAATGACAAATGACTCAGTTGACATGCAAATTTGTTTTTTTTTTTCAAAAATAAATTTTTGCAAAACTAAAACAATGTAACAAATATTTAAGTTGTTTGTTTGTATTAAGTTGCTTATAATTTGGATAAAAAGAAAATCTGATATATTATAAATCTGACTAATGGAATCAGTCCTATAACCCAACAACATTGGATTCAAACATGAAAATTATACTTAATATTACATAGCCCAGTATTAAATAAAAAATGCTAATATGAAACCAATTACCCATATATCCATAATAATATTCGATATTGAATAGCAACAAAAGCAAACAATAAATATCAATATATTGAATTTAATAAAAAAAAACTATGGCAGTCTGGCCTCCGCCTAGTTAACTAATGTTTTAGGAAACTAATGCTTGACTCAAAAGTCAAGTCACTTTTAATACAATTAAGTGAAAATTAACAAGTCTTCTGGACACATTGTAATTTTCAAATTACAAATATTACAAAAACAAGGAGAAGAAAATCATTACAGGCAAACTAAACCGCAAAACAAAAGTTATATAATTTTTCTGAACTCTAATAATGTCACATACTTCCTTATAACACAGTTGAGCTTAAAATTTCTAGTTGCTAAATTGTATGTAGTATATTTATATATTTCATTAGGTTGATCATTATTTTAAATTATGATTTGATTTATTTATTTTCTGATTTTCTCTTTTACATTAAACTACGAGTATATTTTGGCGTGTGAGAATTAGCAATATTTCAAAAGAAAATGAGAAGAGCTATGTTACAGATCAATTCTAGTGTTTTTCCTATAATTCAAAAAAGTGCAATGATAGATATTGTATTTGCTTTGGCTTTTTGAACTCATATTTATATATATATTCTATCTAACCAAGTTCATGTATTTACCCAGAGCCAAAACATTTTCATCGTTTTTTCGTTTGCTGCGCTCATGAAACTATTTAAAATTGCTTTTTTTATTTTTATTGTGTACCTAAAGCTGTGAACAAGGAAAAAATTATATTAACATTTCACAATAGTTCGAAAGAAAACATGGTGTAACCTGTCACATAATAATTACCCAGAGCTATATATTTGATAATTAATTGAGAAGCAAAATCTAATTCTCTTTTGCTTCTCGTTTCTTCGATAAAAATCGCTGATGAGTCTACGATTTTTGTGGGAACATTTTAAATAAAATAAAAATTAAGCTAAATAAGTTTTGAATAACAAAATTCGCTTCCCATTTCCTGAATTAAAAATCGCTAGCCACGCGTCTGCAATTTTTTTATGAAGAAATGAAATGTATATTAGAATAAGAATAAATGTTAAAAATAAAAATTTTGTATTATAATTTAGCCTTAAGTGAGATTCAATAAAGTATTGTACGAAGAATTGAAAAAACAAGAGTTTTATTTTATACTGCACATCCATATAGCTATTAATCAAAAGCATATTTTTCATGATGCAAAATTGACAATGTTTTTAAATGTGTAGTGCGCATCATAATGACTTTGCGAAACTATTTTGCCTTACAGGTGTTTAACAACGTTTGTTCCTATACTTCTTTTGCAATACTTAGGGGAGGGGGAATAGACAATTCAAACTTAATTCAAAAAGAGAATTTAATCGTACAATTTTCAAGAGATAGATTATAAAACTACAGTTTCTATTTTTACAGATATAATTATTTTAGTACATTTTTTTTGCATAATTTTAGGATTAAGTTCAATAAATCAAATTCAAATATTTGAATTAACTTAATTTCAATTGCATACTTATTATTAGTTTGTCCATCCATTGCATATCCACATCTAAATCCTTTTATTGTACATTTTTATGTTTTGTTTCCTTAGAGAATGCTGAACAAATTTAGACATTAGAAATAGCTTTATAATTTAAATTCATCTAGAATTATTAAAAAGTGTTACTGATCTTCCAATTGAACTGATGATCTTTTATATATGTTAGTTTGTTTTTTCAAAAATAATATTTTATGTTGTCGAAAAAGTTTCGTTATCTTTTTGCTCAGACGTTGAACAAAGATTTAAAACTGAATTTTTTAAATTATTCAAGAGGATTGTATAATTTTACTGGTAATCTTCAATAAGTTTATTTATTTTGAAGTTATACACTAATGTCTTGTTATTTATATAATTTTGCACTCCATACCGTTTCTCGAATAAATGCGCACATTTTCTTTTTGGAATAGTATAATCCGCTATAAAAATATACTTACTTTACCTTTAAACTTAACTATACTTACCTTTAAACTTAAACGCGTTCAATTTGTTGTTGGGGGACAATTCAACAAACATTAAAATCAACAACCAACTAACTGAGATGACATTTCTTTTTTCAAAAAATTTTAAAATAATTGTTACAAAACACAAGGAACATGTGCATATTATACAATTACATTTACATACTTTATCAAATTAGTACTATAATTAATTATTTGTATATTATAATTATAACACTTTCTATGAATTTAAAATTCCAGTAATATAGTGCGTATTGTTATATAATTATACGATATTAACTCACTAGTTAAATTATGTAGATACAGTATAACCCGCATAAAAGAAACTTCTTGCTTTACCATTCATTTTGTTTCTTATAAGCTGAAGTTTCCTTTAAAAACGGTTACAAGCGGTTTTCCTAAAAAAAATGAACACGCAAATTTTTGTTTTTAAATACGCATTTATATTTTAATCACATAGCAAACCTCATGCCAAATTATGATGGTCAATATTTCTATGTTGTGTTAATATTTTGCTCATGGACATAATTTTTTTTCTACATCCTTGCAGACTTTGTACACAACAAAGGAAATGGTTTACTAAAAAAGTTTCATATTTTTTTGAGTTTCATATTTTATTTAGATTTATTGAAATTTATGCATTTTAAGATTTTGTAGTTTTTTTTTATCGAACTTGCTAACTTAGAGCTAAAAATTTTAAAAATCCCCGGTGTTGAAAGGGGTAAATTTCAAAAAGTCATAAAAGTATATTTGAAAGAATAGAAAAACTGTAAGCAATACCTGAGATCGAATTTGCAGTAATAGTGTAATAATGAAGAGTTCGGCTTTTAGACTGAGCCATATTCAGCAATTGGCTGACTTTTCTATCGATACAGTGTTATTATAATTCCAATGTCATAGAATATATGGCTGCACAATTTCAGTAATACTACCACATTTCGTGGATATTACAACAGATGGTTTGTCAGTTTTAATACCGTATCTTATGACAATTTTCGAGCTCAATACGCTATTCTAAAAAGTTATTTAATTTATTTGTGTTAAAAATGAAATGAGAAATTCATATTATATATATTCAGTTGAGAAAATATTAAAAAAAGGAAAAATTTTGTTTCTCATATTGTTCTGAATTACTTAATTTCACAATATATTTTCAATGATTTTTAGTTGTATATAGACTCATTTCTCAATCAATCAATCCTCTATAATGAACTCCGTTTGTACCTCTGAAATCCCGAAAATTACGAATGTCATATTATCAATTTCCAGTTAGTAAAAATGCTCTGTTCTATTACATTCATCTAGCAAAAATATATGCCGAAAGTCTACGAAAGAGATAATCGCACATAATAAGAGCAATTTAAGGAGAACACCCGTTGCACATTTTTATGTTTGAATTCTTCTAAAAAATCGCAAGACTTATAACTCAATTAAACGGTAAATGGTAAAAGTTAATATATAATGCTTTATATAATATGCTCCAAATTTAAAAATTTTAAATAATAGTTGCGATAATTAATTAAACAATTTGTCTTGTGAATTGAAATTGCTAAATTCAGTTTGACAATATAATATAAGTGTAATCGGTAATATAAAATGCGCGTTGAACTCGTTTCTTGCATCTTAATCGTTGTTGCAATTACCAAAAGCATTGTAGCACTGCTAATGGTGTCATCAGGATATTGCAACATTTTGCAGTATATCTGGTAAAGCAAAAAAAAATGTCACGTAATTAATAATGTCAATTATTGCTTTTCTAATATTATTTAATTTTTTTCGCGTTTTCGTAATTAAAAATATTTCACTTTCAGGTTTTTTTTTTATTCATGAATGAAAAATTTTGAATAGGATAAGTCAATTTTATTTAGCGGAATTTAGTTCAAAAAATATTCAAACAACCCCGGCTGTTGCAAAAATTTCAACACCGGTTGCATGCATGCAAAAATTGTACACGAAATTTATTATGCGATATGAGTTTTTTTAGCATAAATTGTTGATTCAGTAATTATTTCAGATGCAAAATTATTGTCGACCGGCATTTGACAATATCGATTATATCTAATTTTAAAGGAATTTTCAATTAGTTACCTATTCTCGACTGAATATATTTATAATAATTTTAATATATATATATTTATAGTATAATTTATTTATTTATTTACTCAATTCGTATTTTTTTTTACTTTTTTTTATTTTAAGTATTTTCTTTGTATTTTTTTTAATTTATTTTATTATATTTAGTTATTCAAGTTAAAAATTTTTCCTTTTTATTTTCATTGTTTTTTTGAATTATAAATAAAACATTATTAAAATATAAAATAAAATAAATAAAAATTTTATAAATAGTTTCATTTATGTTTTTTTTTTGTTTCAATTATTTAACTGAAAATATTAACTTTTTAGTAAATTTATTTCTTTAATTAAAGATCTATATATATGTATAAATATTCATAATTTAAAAAAAAAGTTATTTTTTTTTTTTGACCTAACTAGTATACCATATAATAAATTATAAACATTTTTTAAATTCCGTTAATTTTTTTTTCTTAGGTAACTTATGTTAAAATTTATGAAAGGAGATTTTGTTATTTTCTTTATTTTGTTTTGCATATAATTTAATATTTTCTTATGCTTATGACAAGTATACACATATACATAAAAGTATGTCGACTTAAAAATTACAATTTTACAATATCAAATACAACCCTTACCTCAAAAATGCAGTAATACAGTCCTGCTACAAAATTAAGCAATTTCAATTCATAAACTGAAATACGTATTAATACTGTATTACGACAATTTTGAAGCCAAGGATACATACAATTTATTTATACAGCTATGTAATATACTAAACTGTTTTTTGTATGTTAATACCATATAATATACCGCGTTAATTTTGAAATCAGGGTATTATCCCTGACTTATGAATAATAGAAAAATTAATGCGGTATTAAAACACAATTCAGCTTATAATTTATAATTGCTGAATAGTGTGTAGCAACATTTTTTCTAAATTTAACATTTTGTTTTCTTTGAACAGCAATTTTGAAGTCGAGGTATACGAACTTTATTTAAATGTTTGCATATTTTATGCATAGATTTAATTGTATTACGTATGCATAGATTTAGTTGTATTAAATATTAAACATTTTATTTTTTTCTTTGATAATTTTTAATTTTCTTTTTTTTAAGTTTTCTTTTTTTTTAATATCTACATTTAATTTAAGTTAAAATTTTAAAACTCAGATTTTATCATTAAACATGTATATATATATAAATATAAATTATATGCATGTATATATATATAAATAAATCATTGATTTCAAAATTTGCGATAAAACTGTGTATATTATTACATAATTCAGCAATTATACACTTCATAAGCTGAATTGTGTATTTAATATTGCGATATTATAGCAATTTTGAATTTAAAGTTTTCTTACTTACTTATATATAATTATTCAATATCCTTAACCAGCTAATAGATGTGAATTGCTGAATTGTATATTAATACCATATTACTGCATTTTGAAAATCAAGACGTGTATTTACATATACATCATATCATTTATGCATTTACAATAGCTATAGGATAAAATTAAAAAAAAAATAAATGTTTTATTGTTATATATATATTATTATATATATAAATATATTTATAACAACATTATAATAACATTAAAACGTGTTTGTACACATATATAAATATATAATTAAGAAACTTTAAAAAAATCTGCGAATATAATATATATAGGAAAAACTAATTTTTCAGAAGTTTTTTTCCCAAATTTCCCAAAAAAACTTTCTATTACGAGTACTACATATAATTTATCGAATTTTAACATTTAATGTATATTATAAGTTGAATTATATGCAATTACTTAGTGAATTAATTCGCAATAATAATGGCGCACCGTTACGAAAAATGCAAACCAAATGTCAGTTCAACTTATTATGAGGAATTAAAATTGTTTTTTTAAATATCAAATACAATAGAAATTGGAAAAGATAAAAATTTAAAATTGAATTAAACTTTGAAAATTTTAATATCTACATATATGTTGCACGTATCTCTGGTTTTAAAAAGGCAGCAATACGATATTAAAATACAATTTCCTTTTCGAGTTATAAATATACTCAATTGTGTATTTTGAAATTTTAGTACCTACTTTTATTAAAATTCATGATAATCTATATACTTGACTTAGTATTTAAAATTATGTAACTGAATATATAAAACTGATAATATGTATATGTATTTGTATTTTTACAATATGGGCCGAAGGTAGACAAAGTTTATTGTGGCAAAGTTTTTATAATTTTATCATAAACGCCAAAGTATTGAATATTTTTTATAATCATTTATAAGAAATATTTTAAAATTTTATGAATGATAATGGCTTATCCTAAGAAATAAAATCACTAAGTAATATAACTCAAATAAATAAACCGTATATGGATGTGCAAAATATGTATGGAAGAAGGTTTCAAAATTTTGATTTTGTTTGAATTTTTACAATATCTAAATTGTGTGAATATTATATTGTCACATTCAAATTGCAATGATTATTATATCCCTTACTTAAAAATAAGTAGTGTTGTAGTAATATACAATTTAATTAGTGAATTGTGTTCCTTAATAAAGTGTTTCAGCAATTTTTGAAATTATGGTAACTTCTAAAGACTAACTACGATTAACTTCCGAAATGCAGTAATATGGTATTAAAACCAATTCAGCTTATAAAAATGAATTACTGAATTGTATAGCAATATCGTATTTCATATTTTAATAACACAATCTACGCAATTGTATAATTCGGCCATAACAGAATTACACTATTGTATATAAATAATTCATAAATAAATATACTTATAATTGTTTGTACAAATTTATAAATATATATATACGTATACATTACGGCTTAACCGTCTTAATTTTTATAAAGATATGACTGATAGTTTTTTTTTTAAATTGTTAGAAGACTAATTAATTTTTTTTGTTTTAATTTATAGTTTTATTATGAGCTACTTATAGGAACGTTTACATTTTAGTTAGTTTTCATGTTATTTTTTCCATATATTTCAGTTTTCTGTTGCAGGTTTTATTACTTTTAATATATTTGATATGGATATACACTACACGTCTTAATATAATTGTTTATATGTAATTATAGGTTTCAAATATAGTTAAAAAAATTTTTTTATCAAAAACTTCCATAGCCCATATCTGATTTGATTCTATCAAACATTGACACGTGATTTGTTAAGTAACCGGTATGGGATGTTGGTTGATGTGATGCAGCTGCTGCTGCTGCTGCAGCAGCTGCTGTGTACGTTGATGTATTTGGATAACCGTACGGATAATTTGGCGATGGCATATGTAATGTTGGTGATGTTCCATGATGATGATGGTATGTACTATGGTGGTATCCAGTTGCTGCTGGATGATGTTGAGCATAAGCTGGATGATGTGAGTGATATAGTGCGCTGACTGGCATTGAAATATGTGGATCCATATGAGCTGCTGCATATATTGTAGCTGGGTGTGAAGCTGCAGATGATGCAGCAGCAGCAGCTGCCATTAAATTTGAATGATATGATGATGTTTGTGAATAATTTTGTGATGTTAAGCTTGATACAGAAAAATTACTTGATATTCCAGTTAGAGCAGAGCCGGCATAACCAGTTGAGTGATTAACAGGTGAATAGTGTTGGTGTGTAGACTGCGTGGTTTGTGGTTGTTGCATTGATGGTGGTGGTGGTAATGATGAAGTTGGGGGTGCTAGTAACATATGTTGTTGTTGCTGCTGTTGGTGATGATGCTGTGTTGCTATTGATGGTGGTCTTAATTGTAATTGCGGATGTTGTTGTTGCTGCTGCTGTTGTTGTTGCATTATTTGATCTTGAGATTGTATTAATGATTGTGATATTGATGATGGCGTTAGTGAAGAAGTTGATAACAAGGGTGGCGATGACGATAGTGATGACGCTGACGATGATGGTGGTTGTGATGGTAACGGTAACGATGTTGATGATGATAACAATAATTGTGTGGGTGAAGATAATATTGTTGAAACGGGGGATTGACTAGCATTAGAAAATGTTGATAATGATGGTGATTGACTAATAGTATTAGGTATATTTGTTGTTGCTATTACAGTTGTGGGTGTTGTTGTTAGTAATGGCTGCTGCGATAATGGCGGTGGTTGCACTGTCGCTGTTTTCGTTACCGTTGCTGTAGTCATAGTTGTTGTTGTTGTAGCCTCTACTACGGCATTACTCAATGAATGTGCTGCTGAGTTTAATACCATATTATTTATTAAAATATTGTTATTACGTATTGAAGTTACAGTTGGATTTGGTGGCAATATTAACGTAGATGGTGATGGTAAAGACGATGATAATGACACAGCTCGCGAATTTGTTGTATTATAATTATTTAAACATGACATGACATTATTGTTTATTGAATTTATTTTATTATCATTCGTATATTGATATTGATCAATATTATGTTGCGTTGTAATATTATTTTCATTCTCGGATGTTGGAATTTGATCAACTAATGATTCAAGACCCGATAAACTTTTTGAAGCAACATCAACAATCTCTTGTTGTTGTTGTTTTTGCTGTTGTGTTGCTATTTGATGTTTAATTGTTCGATGATGATTATTGTTATTATTGTTGTTGGTATTATTATCCTTAATATTAATATGTTGCAAGTGGCTATGATGTAAATTTGAATGATGACTAGCTTTTGTTATTGAAAAACGATTATCATTGAAATGATTTGTATTTAAAATTATAGATGATGTGACAATTCCACCTCTATCTTGTGGATATTCATTGATTGCGTTAATTGTAGTTGATAATTGATTATCATTTCCATTATTAATATGTTCAAGATTATAATTAGAGTTTTGTAGTGTAGAATTATGTATTGGACTATTAGTGTTCATCGATGAATTTGAAAAATTTTGATTTAAAATTTTGTGATCTCTATATTCAATTTTATGATTATTATCATTATCGTAAATTTCCTGTTCTTTATTTTTTAATTGTTTATTATTATTTGTTATAGTTTCATGACAATTTATAACATTATCACTACTATTATTCACATCATCAATATTATCATATTGACAGGTTTTAGTTTTATTCCCTTTATGGTTTTTAGTCGTTTTTGTAATACAAACAATTTTATTTTCATTATTATTGTAATCTTCAATATTGTTATCATTGAAATTGTCACTGCTACTATCATTATTTAAAATTTTTATACTATTATCACTTTTTTCATTTTTGTTATAATTATCATTTTTAATGTCGTTGTTATTATTATTGATACCGTTATTATTATTTTTATTGCCAATATTATAATTATTATCATTATTATTATTAATGACATTGTTGCCATTTTTATTATTTTTAATATCATTTTTATTGTTATTATTATTATTATCATTATTATTATTATTATTATTATTGTTATTATTATTATTTTTGTGATTATTTATATTAATATCATTACTAACATTACCGTCATCATCACTATTGTTTTTCGGAGCCTTTTCATTTATTAAAGAAATATTATTTGTTACATTTATATTATCATAACTTTTATTATTATTTTCAAAATTTGCATTATTACTCCTTATATCCTTTAAGTTATTATCATTATTATAAAGATTGCAAAATGTTAAATTATTTTTTTCATTTATGTTAATTTTATTTGTATATAAAGAATTTGATATTTCACTATTGATATCATTATTATGTTCAATTTTATCATCTCTACTATTGTAATTATTGTGTAATGAAGATGGTATACCATTAAAGTTGTTGTGTAACAATGATGGCATATTATTATTATTATCATTATTGTTATTGTTATGCTGATTAATTCTTTGTGATAATTGTGTTTCAGAATCTATTAATGTATTTGAAAATTGTTCACTTTTATTATTATTATCATTGTTATTATTACGGTAATTCTCATATTTTTTATTTTGATGTTCATATTGATTTTCTTGTTGTCGTTTAAGATAATTTAGTTCATGATATGTTGTTGTATGACATTCAATATTTGAAAGATTTTTTGGTGAATTTGAACTATGTATTTGTAAATGCCTTAAGTGATTATTGCCATTATTTTCATTGTAATTATTATTATTATTATCATTATTAATCTCACTAATATTATCATTGTTACTATTATTATTGTTATGTTTATTACTATTATTGTGAAAATTATTGTTATTATTATTAGAAAACTCGTTACTTCTAAAATTTTCATTAATCGTTATATTTTGTTCTTGCATTTGTTCTTCTTCTGGCTGTTTTAACTTAGGAACATATGAATTTACAATATCAGTTTCATTTTTATTAATTGAATTAAAATTATTATCACTATTTTTATCAAAATCATCATTATTCATAATAGTACTTTTATGATTATTATCAGCATTATTATTACTGTCATTGTTATTACTATTATTATTATCATTATTACTAATACTATTTTGATTATTATCATTTTTATTACTATTCTTATTATTATTATCATTTTTGTTATTATTATTATTATTATTATTATTATTAATATTATTATTATTATTATTATTATTATTATTATTATTATTATTATTATTATTATTGTTGATATTGTTATTATTGTTATTATTGATATTATTATTGTTTATTAAATTTTCTTTAGTTGTTGAATCTATTTGGTTAAGAATAGATTCATATTTATAGGAACCAATTGTGCTGCTAGGTGAATGTATACTATGTGATGATGAATATATCAAATGTTGATGATTTAAAAATAATGAGGAATTTTTATGATCATTATTTTTTGCATCATTATTATTTGACAAATTTTGTATCATTGATGTTGTATATATACTGTTGCGATCTAAAACAGATTGCTGCTGCTGTTGTTGTATATTAAAATTATTATTAAAATTCATTGATGTAACTGCCGCAGCTACCGCCGATACTGCGTTCGGATCAGCTAAATTCAAGCAATTACTATTTATATTCGATATATCATCATAATGAATTTTTTTTATTGTAAAGCCATTGTTACTGTTATTATTGTTGTTATTATTTTTATTATTTTCAATAGCAATATTACATGTATTGTTATGCATAGTTACATATTTATTTTTGTTATTATTATTATCATTAATTACATTATTTTCCGTATTGTTATTGTTATAAATAATATTTTTTATGCTATTGTTACTGTCTCGAAGTTTTTTTGGTCTACCGCGCTTCTTTTTCGGTATACCATCCAAAATACAACTATTATGATCATAACTAATTTTATGATTTAATATTAATTTTTTTTCTGGTGTATTTTCATCACATTCATTCAAATTTTTTATTTTTTTTGGACGACCACGTTTTTTCTTAACAGGTGGTATTAACATATTATAATTATTGGGATCATTTGCTTCAATTGCCTGTCTTAATACAATTGGTATAGAATCCATTAAATTGTTATTATTATTACTATTAATATTTGAACTTAAATCCGTGCAATTATTGGAAATTTGATGAGGATGATGATGATTTTGATGGTTTTGATGATGTTGATGCTGTGGTATATGTTGATGGTGAGGATTATGCATATTTAAATCAGCAATAACAGGTGATAACTCTTGATGATATTGATGATGAAGATGATTTTGTTGTTCTTGATTAATTTGTTGTTCTTGATTATGCTGATGATGCATTGATTGATTTAACATTTTATCATTATTATTATTTGTAGTTGTTATCTGTGTATTTCCATTTAAGATTAAATTGCTATTATTATCATTATTATTAATTGATTGAGTTAATAAAGAATTCGTGTCATTATTAAGTGGTGATATCAAAACCGATGAACCATTATTTAATTCTTGATCACAATGCTTTAATTTTGGGTCAGTAAAAACACATTCAGAATCATCAATATGCGATATTAAGCCATTTAAATAATCACGAAATTTTTTTAAAGCAGAATAAAAAGGTACTTTATCAGCTGCTCTTGGTAACTGAGCACAACGAGCTGAAGATGATGGCATCACCCACATATACTGTTAACGAATTTGTATAAAAATCAATTGGAAAAGAAGAAAAGAATTATAGAAAGAATTATATTTACAATATAAATCATAAATGTATTTATAAAAGTAATAAGATTTTTCTCTAATTGGAACAACATACGAAAAAAAATTTTATAAAATTAAATAATCTTTTATCAAAACTTTTTTTTTATACTCGTATGTATATTTAAGTATATACATATTTTTATATTTACCGTATTCGTTCCTTCAATACATTCCGGTTGACGACCAAAATTAAAATCTTTTTTTCCAGAGAAAACTTCAAATATTAATTTTCCATTAAAGACAGCAATTTTCGGACGAAATTTTTTCAATTTTTCTAGTAATATTCGACAACCTTCTTTAATTTCTTTGCGTGTTAAATCAGCTGACCCCTTAGTTGCTCTTTGAACCATATTCGTAAAGCCGATACCAAAATTCAATAGCTTATAATCTTCCTCAGCAGACATTTGTTCGTGTGTTAAACCAGATAAATACAAACATTTCCAAAAATGATTACCAGGTCCAGCATAGTGATGACCTTTATAAGCAGCAAATAAGCCAGGATTTATACCAATCTATTGTACCATATTCGATAACAAAAAAAAGTGTTGATAAAAATTAGCTTTAGTTTTTAAAGTATTTTAGTTTTATTAAAACATTGTAAATATAAAGTATTTTTCTTTTTCATATAGTAACACAGTCCGTAAAACCAAATTCTATCTTTTTAATCTTGTTAAAAAGTGAACGTTTTTTTTATCAAATATTATTATTTAATTATCAATTCCATAGTTTTGACAATTTTTACATATTCTTTGACGATGTGAAAAAATAACTCAATTATTTTTTCATGAAGTTGTGAAGTTATATGTTGAGTGCCAGTTACACATCAGACTAAATCTACAATAAAATCGGATATGCATTTAAACATCAGATTCATTTTATACATTATTGTTTATCAAACTCTTGTCAGCAAATATTTATAATGTAAACACTTATAAAACTATTGACTGAGAGAACATAAAATTAAAAATACAACATAAATCAGCTGATCATGGCAAAACTTTTTCTAAAATTCATTTTCCGCCATGTCATTTTTTAAAGTCTGACAGAAAATCTGAAAATAATCGAATATCTTTCTATTTTTTTTTTCTTTAGATTTATGTGATGTCAGACTTCGATTTTCACCATATTCAGAATTAATCTTGCATTATATCTGATGTGCAACAGGTACCTAAATTTAGAAACCAGGTTTATTATTTTTTAGTAAATTAGTTATCTGACACCAGTTCTTTTATTCTATTTGTTTGAATGTGTAGAAAACTTTTTTACATTTTGTGCACAATTTTAAAACGATCGGAACGAAAAATCTACTACTTTTCAAGAATTAAAACTTTCTAACTTAATTTAAATAATAAAAACTTTAAAAGATTTATTGTAATTTGAAATTACACTCACGATAATAATGTCCAAATTATCAATTAAATGATCTGGTAATGTCCTTTTTGATACTTCCTCTTCTGAAATACCATTAAAACGATCATGCTTTTTACGTTCTTTATGTACTGCTGATTTAATAATACCGTTTGTTGGAGATCTGTATTTTTTTTTGTATTATTTTAAAAAAGAAAAGGAAAATACTCTTTAAAACATTCTAATACATTATTTAAATTAATTTATTCATATACCAAAATATCAATTTAATGCATCCTTTTAGGATGAACGAAAAAACAATATATTAAAAAGCGTAAGCAGTTGAATTAGGCGATTAAGCTAACGAGATAAATCAAAAACTGTATATGTATAATCAAATTTTCAATTCAGTGATTTTTTAGTCGCATCTATTGAGCTTAAATGAAATATGTATAACAAATAACCGATTTGTTTAATACCTTTTATTATTGAAGAAGGAATGAAAAGAATGATAAAATAAAACATAAACAAAAGAAATAAAGAAAACAATAAAATTATCAAAACAATTTTTTTTATTTATAAGAGTCTGATATGATAAATTTTATGTTATGATATTATTAATGTCTTTATATCTAAGAAGTCCCAATACTCAATTTTTTTTACGAAATATTACGAATTTTTGCTTTCGTTCCTGTTTTTTTCTTTAAATACCACTCAATGCTCAGGGAGTCCCAATGCTCAGAGAGAAACTTGAAAGCACGACCTTATTTTATATGGGTTTTTTTAAATAGAAGTGGTTATTTTTTGGGAGAAATATTAAAATAAATTCATACTTATTATAAAGCAGGAAAAGTTTCGAAAATATATTTGAAAAATCAAGATATTAATATTTTCATTCATAATTATTTTAAAATTCTTGAAACAGCGGAAAAACAACAAGCACAACCTTCACCTTCAACGTTTTATATGTTACTGAAAGCATTTAATTATTTTTAAGTGAAGAGCTTTTTTTTCTCATAGGGTAAGTTAACTCAAGATATGGTTGAAGTGCTTTCAGTACCATATAAAATGTTGAAGGCGAAGGTTGTGTTTGTTGTTTTTTCGCTTTTTTGTATGTATTTTAAGAATTTTAAATTAATTATGAATGAAAATATTAATATATTTAATTGATTTTTTAAATATATTTTTAGAATTTACCTGCTTTATAATAAGTGTGAATTTATTTTAATACTTCTTCTTAAAAAATAGCCACTTCGATTTAAAAAAAAACCCATATAAAATAAGTTCATGCTTTCAAGTTTCTCTCTTAGCTTTGGGACTTGTTAGATATAAACACATTAATATTATACTCAGAATAAGCCCCAATATTACATAACGGTAATGCACATAATGGGGCGTATTCTGAGTGTCGAATCCCTAAGGGATAATGATAATTATCAAAAAAAGCTCGCTATTATTATTGTAAATATAAAGCAATTAATATAAATGATTTGTGTCTGTTCGTGTGTCTTTTATCATAAACGTATCATTATTACTTAGTCACATAGTAATCTAAACGTTAGTGAAGTTTCAAATATTTATAATAGACACGAATCATTTGTATCTATTTTAGCAAAGCTCAATAGATAGGTCTAGAAAAAATTGAAAAATCGTATAAATTTTTTAGATCTAAAGATTTTACACTGGATTAAAAGTTTGATATAATATATTTTTCTTGTCGTAATTGACATTAGATTTACTTTTTTATTTTTTTTTTTTTTGTTTGAATACTTACCCATCATCCTGGCGTATTTTTTTCTTTCTTCCACGTTTTTTTGGCATATTAATCATATTGCCTTCATCTAGATTCATTATATTATCACACATCAGACTATAATTGTTTGCATTATCTTGAATTTGATTGTGCATAACATTCGAACTTAATAATTCATTATTATCATTATACTGTTCTTGCATATCATTATGATTATTTGTATTATTTATATGGGACATTGTATCGTTTATAACTAAATTTCTATTATCACAATTGGTATCATTACCAATAATACCAGATGATGAAGATGACGTTAACGAAATTGGACAATTATTATGATTCATTAATGATGTTAATCTTGAATTTGGAGATGGAATTGTATGATGCATACTATTATTTAATTCATCATCCATAAAGGTATATGAATCATTATGATTATTTATATTATTTTTAGACATTGATTGTTGCTGCTGTTGTTGTTGTGTAATTGATGATGATTGCGTTGAATTTGATTGTAATTCACATTTTCGACTCGATAATGAAGATAAATTTGTTTGTAGATTAATTGTATGCTGTGGTGTTATTGAATGATGTGATGATGATGCATGAGAATTAGGAGTTAAAACTTCTCTTACAGATGTGTCATAACCATCATCTTGGCTATCGGTTTTAGGAATTGATGGTGATAATCTAAAATTTTAAGAAAGTTTTAAGGGGGAGAAAATTTATAATTGCGTTAGAAAAATATCCCAAAAAATATTTTTGCATTTCACGTAATAAACGCATATGTATATATATGTACGTAAATATACTTACAATTTATATCGTGATGTTGTATCATGTGAATGATGATCATTAATTAATAATTCATCCATACAATTGACAATATTATTATTTTGTAAATTTTTATGATTTTGTGGCTGCTGTTGCTCTTGCTGTTGCTTCTGCTGTTGTGACAACGGCATATTAACTGTTAAATGCTGATTTATTATTGGTGTATCGTAATGTGAGTGACTATAATGTGTTTGATTTAATAAATTTTGTTGCTGTTGCTCTTGACCTTGTTCCTCTTTTAAATCAATATTAATTTGTTGTATATTTTCTGATTGTTGCTCTTCATCATTAATTAAGTTTTGATTAATACGATGTTGATAATGATTCATACTATTTTGATTTTGTTGCACATTATGATGAATTTGACGATTTTCACCTTGCTGTTGTTGCTGATTTAAATGATGTGAAATACCATTATTTCCTGCAAAATTATTTGATTGTGATAACATATGCGGTTCTGTTAAAGAATTTGATTGTGGCTGCATATAATGTGAAATATGATTTTCATAATTTTGATGATCGGATGATTGATGCTGTTGTTGTTGCTGTTGTTGCTGCTGTAAATGCTGATGATTTCTTAAATGTTGATCATAGTGCATATTATGTAAATTTTGTTGATTATGTATATCAAAGTCATAATTCAGTGGTAAATTATGATGTGAATGATGAATATGTTGTTGTTGTTGATACTGTTGTGAATTAAGATGTAAATTATTTTGATGATGCTGCATATTAATAAAATAAGGCGAGTTTATCCGATCGTAAAACATAGTATGAGTATAATGTTGTTGTGTTTGCTGCAAATGTTGATGCTGTTTTTGCTGCTGTTGTAATTGTTCTTGTGATTGATGATGTTGCGATATTTGAATAGCACTTGAGTCCGAATAATTTGCATTTTCTTGTGACGATATTACTGAACTTAAGTTTTCTTGCAAATTTTGATTATGATTGAAATGATGTTCATGAATATTTTGTTTTTGTTGTTGTTGGTCAGGAGTATTTTGAATAAAATTTTTTATATCATTGCAGTCATTATTTTGATTTTGTAACCCAATACATTGTTGCTGTTGTGCTTTGTGATCAACAACCGCACGATCTAATGTTTGTTCATTCGATATATTTTGAACAATATCATTATTGTGATTGGACATTGCATTTTTAAAATCATTTTTTTGCAAATTATCATTATCATCATTACTTTCAACAACACTATTTTTACAATTACTATTATCATTATTATTATTATCATTATTATTATTGTTATTATTATTATTATTATTATTATTATCATTATTATTATTATTATTATTATTATTATTATTATTATTATTATTATTAGTATTAGTATTTTTAATTTTCTCATAATTATTAGTAACGTCATTAACATTATGAATATCATTGTTATCACCTTTACAAATGTTGTTCACTTGTTCAATAATAATATTTTCGTTTAGATGTTTTTGTGAAGTTTCGCTTATTTTTAAATTAATATTAGAATCTGTGGCTCTTACTTCAAAAATTGAATTCGTAATATTATTATCATTTCTGTTATCAATTGATTTTACATTATTATTGATATTCTCAAAACTATTAGAAAATATTTTATTATTACTTTTATTATCACTACTCCTGTTATTATTTAATATTAATATATTTTTATTATTATGTTCTGTAATCAATTTATCATTTTGAAAATTTAAATTATCATCAAATTCTTTTGCACTATAACCAGTAGAGCTTGATACCTTTTTATTTCTATTAATGTTACCATTATTATTACTATTATTAATGTTACTATTATCATTATTATTATTTTTATGATTCATATCACTATTATTATTTTCATTACTACTGTTATCATTATTATCATTATTATTATTATTAATATCAGTATTTTTATTATTACTGCTATGATTTCTATTATCATTATTATTAGTATTGTCACTATCATTGTTATTATTTTTGTTATTAATGTAATTTTTACCATTATTACTATTATTATTAATATTATTATTATAATCGTTATTATAGTTATAATCATTATTTTTAATATCGTCATTATTATTACTATTATTATTATTATTATTGTTATTTATATCATTATCAATATTACTACTACTACTTCTATCAGTTTTGTTACTACTAACATTACCATTATTACTTATATCATCATTATTTTTATTACAATTGTTAATTTCATTATCATTATTACTATTACAGTTATTATTTTTATCTTTCTTATTATTATTACTATTATTATTATTGTTATTATCATTTTTATTACTACCGTTATTCGTGTTATCACTGTAATGATTTTTATTATCACTTTTATTAGAATTAACATTATTATAATTACTGTTATTATTTTTATTGTTATTATCAACATTATTATTATTATCGCTCTTATTATTTTCATTATTTTTGTTGTTACTTCTATGATTATTTTCATCTTTATTATTATTATTATTATTATTATTATTATTATTATTATTTTCAGTATTATTATTTTTGATACTAATATCGTTTTGTTTAGTATTATAGTTGCTATTTTTTTTAATATCTGCTTTATTTTTTACTTTTTTGGTATTATTATTTTTTGTATCAATTGAATTAGAATTATTATTTTCATCATTAGTGTTATATTTATTACTGTTATTATCATCCTCATCATGATTATTATTATAATTTGTATCAACATTATTAATACAAATATTGTTATTATTAACACTACTATCATTTCGTTTAACGTTACTAATTTTATTCATTTTATTACTTATATGTGATTTATTATCCATTTTATCACAATCTTCAACATAGGTATTATTCAACATTATGTTATTATAATTGTCATTACTTGTAATCATATTATGGTTATTGTCATTTTTATTCTTGATATTTTTATCATTATCGGTATTATTCAAATTATTAATTTCATGATTGTTATCAATTATTTGTTTATTATCACCTGTATCACTATGATTATTATTATTATTATTATTATTATTATTATTATCATTATTATTACTATTATTATTATCACTACTATTATTATTATTATTATTATTATTATTATTATTATTATTATTATTATTATTATTATTATTATTATTATTATTATTATTATTATTATTGTTACTATTATTATTATCACTATTATTAATGTTATTATTATTATTATTAATATTATTGTTATTATTATTGTTATTATTATTACTTTTATTATTTTTATTATTATTATTATTGTTATGATTGCTATTACTAATATTAAATTTTGTTATACAAAATTCTACATCATTAGTATCAATTGGCAATAATAATGATTTTTCTTCCTGCTTGCTATCAATTAAACTATCAACGTTAGTGTTTGCATTATTGTTATTACTAATTTCATTTTTTTTATTATTATTATGATTATTACAACTATTATTTCTACAATTATGTAATTCCTTGTTTGTCGTTGCAAATGTTTCTATTTCTTTTGTAACTACATTTACTTCAACCGTTCTTTTTACGCCGGTTGGCATTGTTAGCTTCATTATTGTTGCAGTAACCGGTGCTGTCGCTAAGGGCTTATACGGTGGACACGTTGGCGATGATGGGGGTGATGGCCAAATCGGTTGTTGTTTTGAATCAACCGATTTAATATTACTTGAATTATCTAATTGGTTTTGATTTATCATTGTTTTAGCGGTTGACATATTCGTTAATTTTATTTTGCATCTATATTTTTTTATTTAAATCACAAAGCGTTTTCCTTTTGTTTGTTTTCTCTAGATCTCTGTCTACTTATATGGTAGAGTTTTTTTATTATCCTTACATTATAAGAGTTCGAGACTGTCAAAATGCTCAAGAAAATTTTTAAAATAGAACAAGAAAACAATTTTAATTGATATACTTATTATAACTTATAAACTCAGCACAAAATTTATTTTATATTTTTATATTTTTTTAATATTATTAATCATTAAATTAAAATTGTAATCATTCTGATTTTTTTTGTCAATTAACAGGTACTTTAGTTTAGTTTTTATTATTTTAATATTATTTTCAATAATTTTTTTTATTTCTAATAGTTGCGCAAATATTCACTTCCGAAATCTGTAAGTAAGAAATAATTAGAAAAAGAATTCTGTAAGTAAGAATAATTAGAAAAAGCTGTGATATAGATATATTTTACATAAATATTTTAAATATATGTACCTAAATAGCTTATTTAATAGTAAAAATGCAATTTCATTATAAATTTTATGATAAACAACGTCAAATATTACATTGTTCCTGTGTGGAAGTTTTACTTTTTAGCACTTTTCCAAAAAATTTTTGAAACAAGTAAAAACGTTTCAGTCTGTATAAACCGATTGAATTATACCCTGCACCTTTCGTAATAGTGTAGCAATTACTCGAACCTGTGAATTAATTCTATAGAAACTTAATGGACATGTCTGATCTATAATTGGACATCCTACTGCCAAGTTTCATGAATCTGACTTTATAATTTTTCTAAATATTTAAAATTAGCTTTTGGAGTTGTATGGCAAGCACCTGAACCTGTCAATAAATTCCATCAAAACTTTACAAATATATCTGATCTATAATCGGACACACAACTGCCAAGTTTCATGAAACTGACTTTATTATTTTGCCGAATATAAAAAATTTGCTGTTGAAGTTGTATGGCAGCCACCCGAACCGGTGCAGCTATACAACTCTTTGAGTTGTATGGCAGCTACCCGAATCCGTTGTCCGAATTAGTCCAATAACAACACAGTTCGTCCTTGGCACAAAAGAAACAACTTGTAAAAGTTTGGTGTCGATTGCATTATTCGTTTTTGAGTTATCGTGCGATCGGACGGACGGACGGACGGACGGACGGACGGACGGACGGACATGTCTAAATCGACTCAGAATTTTACGCTGAGCAAGAATATATATATATGTCCATACCGCAGATGACTCCTTCAAGTAGTTACAAACTCCATACCAAAGTTAATATACCCAAAGTTTCACGAAGTGCAGGGTATAAAAAAGTTCGCTCTGTGAAACTAATAAGCATGTCCGTCCATCTGTTAACTTTTGACTCCCCCCCCCCTCTAAAAGTTATACCACGTTTTATTTATACAGGATTACATATGTGAAATGCTCTGAACTAAATACATATACCATGATTGCGTATTATGGAAGATTTAAATTTTTATAAAAAATGTGCATTAATTAAACCAGACGCCGTGGTCAGCAGTTTTTTCTTTTGCGTTTTAAAAAGTGTAATTCGAAATTTTTGTTTTTAATTTAAAATATTAATTATAATTTCTCACGCTGAATTTTAGCCTAATCAGCAATCAATTTTTATAAATACCGTTAGAATTAAGATCAAGACACAGTTTAATTTTGTAATTAAATCAGTTATAATAAAGCGTACTTCCAGTTCTTTTATTAGGAATAATTTTCTTTATAACGAATTACCATAAATTCGTGAACTTGTATTTACTTATCATACAATCAAAATAACTGCATAACATGTTATCCTAGACTGAAAGTAGGAGCTGTTTATTATTATAATCATAGAGCTTCTTATAATAGACCACAAAGTATAATAGGAACTATAATTCCGAAAAACGGTTTTGGCTAAATTATTTTCGAATTATTTCATATATACAGGATGTTTCGCATAAGGTGGCAAATAATTTTAGGGATGACTCTTTGATCAATTTCCAGCAAAAAATTGTACAACTTGGGAGGGGATTGCAGATATACTCGTTTTCGAACTACAGCCTGTTGAAAAAAAGTCACCAAACTTTTCCTATATATAAATAAATGCTTATAACTTCGGAGCCATACAACAAAGAGTTGTCACTTGTAGATAACTTGTTTTACAGGCGATTCATTGTTCTTTATTTTTCGTCTTACAATTCATTTGATTTGAGCCATAGTTTTTGAAATACAACTCGTCAAAGTCAGAATTTTTGCTTTTTTTTTTAATTTTTGTCATTATATTTTTTTTTTGACGCGCTACCATGAGATTAAAAAGTTAGCCCATATAAAATCTTCCTCTACCTCTCATAGTTTTGCCAGTAAAACGTGTTAAGTATTTGAAAACATACGAAAAATGCTCCATAGTAGGGAAGTGTAGGTAAACTATTTTTAGCAACCTGTCGGTCCGTCGGTCTGTCGGTCTGTCGGTCTGTCGGTCTGTGTGTGCACGCGTGTATCTCAAGTTCTACTGAACCGATTTTGATGAAATTTTATATGTAAGTTTATTTCCACCATGGCACGGATTGATCAACTTTTGGTATATATCAGGCCTCGGGAACTGCACTTTTTAGCGGGCCTGTTTTACATTTTTGAACATTTTGAAGAAAGTATTCAACGGATTTACTTGAAATTTCATATATAAGCTTTACTTGACCGTCCGCAAAAATTGCTAACTTTTGAAAGAAATCAGGCATCAGCAACTGAACGTTTACTACGGGCCAAATATACATTTTTGCATATATAAAGAGAAATAATTGACCGATTTAATTGAAATTTAATATTTAAATTCTTCGTATTAAAACAATGAACACATAAATTTTTTGGTGAGGTCAGGGCTTGAAAACTGATTTGCGGGCCGATTTTACATTTTTCACCATATCTACGGAACGAATTGATGGAATTTCTTGAAATTTAATATTTGAGTTCTGATTAACAGGCGAGCATTTCTGGGAATTCGGGTAGCACAAAGCGAAACTCTAGTAAGAGCCAAATTTACATTTTTCTAGGTATGTTAACTATAAGCTTACTAATGTCCTGAAAATTGGAAAGAAGTATTTAAAAGGCATTATATAATATTCTGTAACCCTTTCACTTAACTAGACAATATACAGTGCGGTCGGTTATGTGCTGACCACATCAGATTTTTTTAGTTTAGTATGTATAATTTGGAATTTATATGAAATGTATGAAACATGTATTTTTTGCATGTTGATTCGCAATTTAATGAAATGGACCAATAATAATACCTACATTTCCCTACTACATTAATGTAATAAATTTCTTATTATATTTTTAGTTTTATTTAACTCTAAGACAGCACTACCAAAATAACATCTTGAAATATTTTTTTGATGCAAAACTTCAAAATAAAATTTTTCAAATTTTAGAATACGACTTGTGGCATCATATATCATACCCAATGAGTAGCCATTAGTAGTTCTGTTTGGTGACTGAATTGGTTCGAATTGAAATCGTGATAGTTTTGCTTTCTTTTCAATTGAATATCATTTGAAGATTTCAAAGGATTCATGAAGATTTTTTTTTCGAAGATTTGATTTTAAACAAAGGAAATTTTGGCTAATCTATTTGGCAGCACTGCTCATTCATTATAATAGTTTTTTCCTTTAATTAATCATTTGTCATCCGTTCATCACATGTGAATAATTTTGGATTGCGTTCCTTAAGACTATCGACGATAACTAATTAACATAATTAAAATAAAAAATTCTATATTAGGTTATAAATAAGTATATGCAAATGTACGTACGTAAACACATATTTACGTATGTGTATTACGAAGTACTACGCATTTGCATCTTTACTCCTTAGTCTTTATTATAGATTCCTGAAATCATGTCTAAAAATAATTATGTCCAAAATATAAAATAATTATACAAATAGTAAATATTATTATTACAAATCAACGTGTTTACATTAACAAATTAAAAATACTAAAGTAAGAAGCACCTTTGTTTCTATTTCACTTGCACTCCCTAAAAAATCGTATCTTAAAAATACACAGTGTAGCCAAAAACTTCAGGTAAGTCTCTTTCTTTGCTCTAAACATTGTTAAATTGAAATTGACATTAAATGCCTTTTTTTTTCCTTGGAAAAGTACGCGGGTATAAAAAATAAACAAGGAATTATATTAAGAGAAGTTAGCACGTTACTATATTTTAACGAAATCGAAGTAATCGAATCCAAAAATGATGCTCTCACCATTCTCTATGTAATTTCACTACCAAAGACAGACAAACAAATATACGACCACATATTAATTAAAGCAACTATAACGAATAAAAGTCAAGTAAAGCTGTAGTACGAAGAACTGCTCGTTAATGAAGAAATCTATGGCGTAAAAGACAAATGTGAAACTTTTAATGACGTCACTTGCAAGAAAACGCACTAACAGTCTTTCCATCCGGACACTGTGTAAAACAACTTATCAATGCAACAGCAAGGATACGTCGTATATATGGATATGTCGTAACTAAGTCCACAACAAGGAATCTGTCAGGAACCTACCTCCTACAATATTATAACGATAAGGGACTTAGTTTTAATGTGAATTGTTGTGTTAATATTTCTCTTTATAGAGCGAAAATTTGGTCGACTAAAAAATATATAAAGAGGGTGTGATATCCTCGAATGCAAACAGTACATTAAAATATTAGTGTGAATTGTTCAAAAAATAAATAATTTTCGAATGAATAAATTTGTAATAAAGCTCAGTTAATTAATGAAAAAGTATACGATAATACACTATCGAAATTCAAAAAATTAATGAATCGTTTTAGGTTATTACAACAATGTCTTTTATTGAAAAATGTTTTGTTAACATTATTTTCATCAACAAAAATCGCATTGCAATTAACACCCAAGGCAGTACAAAATATTAAAAAAAAAATTTGTTATTGTCAAGCGCCGTAAGTTATTGTAATATAAAAATATGTATATTTAACTCAAATTTATTAAATTAATTTATTCAAAAAGAAAAGAGAACAAAATTAATGAGTTCTGCTTAAATTTGATTGTTCTTTGCAAATATTTCAAATGAAAATTAGCATACTTTTAGCACTTTTCGAAAAAAATTTTTGAAAAAAGTGCTTATTAGTTTCACTCTGTCCGGGTGTCTCTTTATAGAACTTCTACATTCTTGAAAATAGAAAGCTAAAATTTTATATGTACGTAGATTTGTACTAGAAACTTATTTCCATAAACTCTTAAAGTAATACCCCCCTAAAACCCTAAAAGTGGTTTATTTTAACCACTTATTGCAGTGAAAACATAAGCATTTTTTAAGTTTTGAAAAAAAGTGGCTGGCTTCCTCTATAGCGGCATACCATTTC